AGCAGGAATATTAGACTGCTGTCACTTTAAGAGCTGCCCGTATTCGCTATATTGTTACACACGTGTTTCCTTTTTCATCTGTTTGCATTCACTTAAGACCGAAATGAACGTGTTTATGAAGATACTGGCAAAGACGGGCATTTTGACACATACAAGTGTGTGTATTTAAGCGTTCAAGGCCTATAAAGCGGCGAAAATCCTCCCGCGGTCTGAGCACCGTTTGCACATGTGTGCGCATATAGCCAAATGAGTTCTCTTTCGCTGCTGATTGCGTTTCAACGACTAAAAATCACTTGATTTTAAGAAAGACCCTAACATTTGAACGCCTTGGATTAAGAGCTTTCTACTTGGTGTGGATGTGCAGTACAAATGAAGATGCAATTGAATACAAAACAGTGTTGCTATTATTAATAGGTTGCTAATAAGTTGTCAGTATGATCATTCACTTTTGGCTCTAAGCTTGCTTCATATCAAGTCTAGAAGCCACTGACAGGAACAATTGATTTGGTTTATTGCTTTATGCAAGCTATGTTAACTTCACAGTAACGGAGATTCAGGTGCATGACAGTAATTTAGTGTGTTATAAAAACGTTACTGCATACAGCCCGGGGCAGATTTGTAGCTACGACACTGAAATTCTCACAAAACTGAAGATAAATCATTTTCAGCCAGCCAACATTGGTGACAGTAGAACAGAAGACCTTCATAGTCCTCAGTCTTTCTTTATTTGGAGGATTCCTCAGAAAGCTGAAAGTGTGCATCGAGGTTTTACATCATACATTGAGAACATGTGAACATGTACAGAGAAGCGGACACCCATTACATGTTTGAAAAAAGTACTTTGACTGTTTTAGAGACCCATTACTGAAGAATCGTCTAGTCTTTTCACCAGGGACTTGCTCAAAGTATCCACTAGGTGGTGGTTTTTATCTGAAAGTATACAACACTCACACAAGGAGATTGTGACTTTGCCCAAGAACATGCCTGACAAGTGTTTTTAGATAGATTAAAATCATTTTTAATGTAAAAAATAATGATCATACGTGACAATAAACAGCAGCCATATCTCACGAAGGAATGTGTGAGTTTACAGACAGTCAGATTTGAAGGAACACAAAAGCAGAACTTCTGAAGAATCTTCACGCAGCTCTTTTCATTACGAGGACTTGAATGGACCGTACGATTCTTTCATTCATGAGTTACACAGCTGACTAGAGGGGAAGATTATCAGCGAACAACTGTAATTATAGCCTGTTTATCATTGAGGGAAAAAAGCAGTTTGTACATACTACTTTTATGGTGCTTTTTTGTCATTTTGGAGCTTTCTGTGAAACACATAAAAGACCTGTGTGATCATTCTTTAAAATGAAAAAAGAAAAGAAACAACTCAAGGGTGAATAAATGTCCATTTTTTGGTGAACTACTCCTTTAAGACAACACTTGAATACTCTTCTCTGATACTCCATCTACATGCCAAATATTCGGTCCAGTCATCGGCTAAATGTGTTTTAGCCTTATATAATGCAGCCGGGTTGCATGACTTTGATGGAAATAGGAATTGACAAAGGAGGACAGTAAGCCGTCGGGTGGGTACTTAGAAATCTTCTTGAAAGTCGATGATGATCCTCATTTTAGCTGCTCTGTTTGAGCTCTTAAAAGTCCCAGAGTCAACCAACCTGTAAACCAATGCCTTTTAATTCAACTCTAACCGAAACATGATATAAATGCATGAAAATGCTGAGTTAAGGTTGCTGGAAATTAGGTTCTGGCTATGAAAATGTTGGGATGTGAAGTCGTCACATGTCCTCGCCCATCAGCAGCGGCTGCAGGAAGAGTCCAGCCGTACCCAGAATACACACGAGGACAAACACCCACAGAAAGATCCGGTCAATCACCATCGCCACATACTTCCAGTCGTCCTGGACCTTTAAACACAAGGGTTGGAAGAGCAAGACATGAACTCTGGATCATAATTGATATGCAGATTTCTAAGGCTCTAAATGATCAAACTCTGCTGTTTCACACACAATCTCCTGAGTTTTTTATCCAGTCGAAGCTCTTT